GCCCCCCCGGGGGGCTGCCAGTGCCGTGGCGTGGCCACACTTGCAACACTTGCGGTGCCTTTGGGAGCGGCGCATTCTGCGCAGTGCCTCTTTCTCTTCTGCCGCAGAGACGTGTGGGGAGGCGCAGGGCATCCTGGGTCCCATCTTGATGCCCTGTGGTGCTTCGCGCAGCATGCCCACCACCCCTGTGCCTCCGTCCGCATTTGGCGCCAGCGGCGGCCAGGCCCTGCCCTCTGCCTCCTCGGGAAGCAGCTCCCCCGCTGTTGGGGAAAATGCTGGTCGGTCTCGCGCGCACGTCACATCTGGCCATCGAGTTGTTCCTGCAGCTGCAAAGGGACGATGAGGCGTCCATGCAGCGTCCGTACGACACAAGGTTCCCTGCGGCATTCACGGGGGCTCCGGCCACAGCGGAACGCCATGACTGGGCTCAGGACACAAACTCCTTGGCTCTCCCTACATGTGCTCCCCTTACCCCCGCACCCTGCTCGTTGAGGGCCCTGAGTCAATGGCCTTTTGTCCACAGAGGAAATGTCTCCTGGGCCAGCTGCGGGTGGCTGAGGCTGTCGGCCACCATGTCTGAAAGTGCTGGCCACAGCCTTCCCCTGTGTGGCTGGGTGCTTAGGGTTTCCAATGGACGCCCTCTACACACCAAGCGACCAGAGTGCACAAATGGAGAAGCCCCTTCGGAAAGTGAGCATTTCTGACCACTCTTGGCACGTTCCCTGGCTCAGGGGTGGGGGCACGCCGTCTTCTCACTGTGCACAGGGTTGCCAGATGGTTTAACAAAAAATCCCATCCATGCCCTCCCCCCCCAAAAAAAAAAAACACCGGGAAAAAAATCTGTTGAGAAAAAAAAGGGGCTGCTCCTTTAAATGGCCCCATGCTCCTCACTCCCCTGCCCCCGCCAGATGCAGCAGGGGAAAATTGTCCCCGCCGGGCTTCCATCCGAGGGAAACAGGCAATACTGGACATTTCACATATCCGGTATTTTCTGTTTTTTTTACCGGACGGGGGACCCAAATAACGGACAGTCTGGGAGAAAACTGGACACTTGGCAACCCTCGCTGTTCACTCCACCAGGAGCTTTTTTAGGCCCCCTGCCTGCCCTTCCAGGAAATCTAGCATGCTGTCATGTTTGCTTAGCCGAGGAGTGACACAAAAGTTTCAGAAGGGGGAGTCGTGTTAGCCTGCAACTGGAAAAACTTAAATAGCAAATAGTCCTGCAGCACCTTCGAGACTAACAAAACACGTAGATGGGATCATGAGCTTTCATGGGTGCAACCCACTTCTTCAGATGACCGGAGTTTAAGGGGTTGGTCCAGTTTTCAGATAAATAACACAGAGGGGGGATGGGGGAAGAGGAGGAAAAAGAAGAAAAAAAAGGGGAAAAAATTGTCAGAGTGTCCATGCTAAATGAAACTGATCAGAATACTTAGTACCCACTCTAAGTCTCATTTGTTTGGGTTTTTATGTCAGTAGGAGGTGGAATGTAGCGGGCCATCCAGCCAATATCTTTGTTTAGACTTCTGCTGTAGGAATCAATCTTGTAAATGAAATTAAGTTCTGTCGCTTCCCTGTCGAGTGGCTTTTGAAATTGGTTTGAAACAACATGGTAACTTTGAGTTCCATGAATCAGTCCACGGGCAAGTTAAAATGTTCCCCAACAGGTTTGTGCGTGTTGCCTTTTCAGCTACCTGATTTGTGTCCATTATTTCGTTCCCGCAGACACTGTCCAGTATGGCCAATGTCCATGGCAGAGGGGCATTGTTGGCACTTGATGTCCAAGATCACATTGGTGGAGGTGCAGTTGTACGAGTCTCTGATGTGGTGGTTTACGTGGCTAGGTCTCGTGATGATATCACCTGTGCAAATGTGTGGACAGAGTTGGCACTGGGGCTGATTGCAGGGTTGGGTTGCTGGGTGATTATGATGGAGGTGTGTTGCGTGGTTTCTGGACAGGATTTGTTTGAGGTGAGAGGGTCGTCTGTAGGTGACACGTGGCCTGTCCCCCAAGGCCTGTGAGAGTGAAGGATCATTTTCCAGGATAGGGTGTAGATTGTCAGTGACGCGCTGGAGGGGTTTAAGTTGGGGGCTGTAGGTGATGACAAGTGGTGTCCTGTTGTTTTTTTGTAGGGCCTATCTTGAAATAGTTCATACCTGGGTACTCGTCTGGCTCTGTCCATCTGTGTTTTCACTTCTCTGGGTGAGGAGTGAAATGCCAGGTGCCATGACCTTTGCTTTCTCAGGTGCACAATTCCCTGTTCACTTCCTTCCCACACTGTACGCATGATATTGATGGTGCTGTTGGCAGATCTCTGGGCTCCTTAGGTGACCTCTGAGCTTGGGGATAGCTTTGAGGGTGGGACACTGCACTTTCCCACTTCAGCACTCTCCTTTCCAGACGGTTCCCCCACTTGCAAACAAACTAGGGTGACTGTATTTGAACTTTCACAAAAAGAGGACACTCCGGAGAGAGAGTGTATCTGTATCGGCATCAACCAACTCACATTGTAATACAACGTGCGCATATACAACCAGTAACAGTGAGTATACAATGTGAGTATATAATATACTGTGTACTGCATGTCATCTACATTGAGTATCTAGAAATAAGAACAAGAGTTAAGGCCTCAAAAATCAATGTTATAATTATTCAAATTTTAATGTTCCTCTTTACATGTTCTGAGTCCTTCCTTTCACCGGTCTTCTTCAGTTTTCTTCCTCCTGATGTGCCTATTGAAATAGGAAATCATGTTGATGAATTGCTCTGTATTCAGAGGAGTAAGGTGAATTGCACATACCACAAGACAGACCAAACAGAACTTCCCTCAAACTAAGAAGTCCCCAAAATGGGACAGAGACCCAAAACAAGAGAGTAAAAAAAACCCAGCAAAAAACTGAAGTTTAATTTAATGTGGGATTGTTCATTTTAGTTCTGTACCACTTCAATTACCTAAATATTATGGATGATTGAGATTGTGGATAATCAAGAACATTTTCAATGTAATTAACATCTGTCAGGGGATTGAGATTGTGGATAATCAAAAACATTTTCAATGTAATTAACATCTGTCAGGGAAAGTGACCTGTTTTGAAAAAAAGGGACTTGCACTTAATTGAGGTCTCGGTTTGCTTTTGCAGCCAGTTTCATTATCCTGAAAAGCAAATTCAACGTATTCTGTTAAAAATTAGAAAACAGCAGGAGTTTGGTGAGGAGTGAGGTGTATTTGCATCTACAAGGCAAAGGAAATGGAGAAATCGGACAGGGACTATCTGGGTTTTTAAAACTTTTAAAAGCCCTCCAAATTAAAACCTCCCACAACCCCATCCTATACACACGATTAGCCCGCGCTGTGCTTGGGTACGGACAGGTGGCTGCCAAGCTAGGCTAACCATTTTATGCCATCCACTCCTCTGGGGGACCTTTGTTGCTGATCACGGTTTCAGTCCTAGCCTGCTGGTTCAATGAAAGACACCAGACCACGCGACGCTGGGGGGTTTCTTCGTTGCAAGGCGGACAGAAGCGAAGGGAGCGCTGGCACAGAGAGGGCTGGGATTCAGTCGGCATAACAGAGCCGCAGGCAGCGAGTGGAGATAGGGCAGCTGGCATTTTGGAAACTCAACGTGTGGGAGGCGGCCGGAGCGGCTTGCAAGCTACACCGCTGCCTTCTGAGACATCCCCTCTTCCCCCAGCCCGCACACAGCCCCTGAGGCCGCCTGCTCCCCCCGGCATGCCTACCACAGGGGTGCCAGGAAGCAGCAGCGAGATCACCCACCCTTTTCACTCTGCGGGGCCGTGTCGAGCCCCATCCCGTCCTGAACTTGAGACAACTTCAGGGCCCACCTGTCCGGCACGTCCATGCCCAGCATTTTGCTCTGACCTGGGCTGCCGCCTACTACAGAGAAGAGTTCACGGGGGCTTTCATTGCAAAGGGCAGGAGATGGGGGAGGAGGCTGAGAGGGTCTGGTTGCAGGAGTCCCCCAAGGAGAGGGGAGGAGTCAGGTGGCTGCTGGCTTCCAGCAGCCACTGGGCAAGGGCTGCAGCCGCTGGATGGGAAAGGCCAGGCTCCCATTGGCTGAAAGTTTGGCTGCAGAGAGATGGGAGGGTCCTTAGGGCAGCGGCGTGGCGGGTGGGGGGAGCAGAGGCCGACGGAAGGGGAACTTTTTTTTTTCAGGCACCGCAAATTAAACATCTGCATTTGTTTGGAAAAGAAGGAGCAGGGCAAAAGCCCAGACACTTTTAGATATTTAACAAACCCGGCCGGCCGGAGACGTAAAGGCCGAAGAGGAGGACGTGTGTGGGATCAACCGGACGTAGGGTAACCCTAAACCAAACCCGCTCTGTCTCAGGAAGCAGCAGCAGCTGGCTGGAGGGCAGGAACTTTCCTTTCAGTCATGGCACCAGTTACCAGGTAACTGCAGGGACACTGTTCTGGTTACTTAGCAACCCTGCCCTCGTCGCCTGGCAACTATTTTGATATTGGCTGCCTGTTGCCATGGGGCAATAAGGGATCAGTAAACAGAGTGACTGGCGCATGCATCAGGCCTAAGACAATGCGGAGAACACTGAGAAAATAGGTATCGCTGCGATTTAGGTTTTTATTATTATTTACTATTTATACTGGGGCAGCCCCCCCAAACGTGCTAGGACAGACTCATGCCCCAGCGGGAGATTTATAGTCAATCCTCATGCTCTGGTGTTGCTTTTCCCTTGCACTTTGTCATCTGTTTCGGTCAACACTGCTCCCAGGAGAAGAATCTAAGGAGTCCAGCAAAACTTTCATGTCCTGGGGCTGATGTCTCTCTCTCTCTCTCTGTCTTTGGAGCCACAGGGAGCGTCTCTGGGGAGTCAAATGCTCATCACACAGCCCCCTGCCGCAGTGCGGGGGAAGGAAGGAGACTCGCAATGAACTCCCTGCCAAGGCTTTCCTGAATGCAGCAAGCGGCAGATGTCAGAGCTTCGTTCCTCTAAGTTCAGCGGGGTTAGAAACCAGGATATCCTTTCAGCCCTGCTTTGGCGCTAGGGGCTGCTGGGAGGTGATTCAAAGGTGGATATGAACTTTCCTAAAGTCTGGGGCTGAGCCGAACCAGAGGGTGTGTGGCTGACGGAGTGAAATCCGCATACAAGAGAGACCACAAATCAGGAGCCAGAATAGTATATTTAACAGCAACATTATGCCCCCGTGTTTCTAAGCGATTTTCACTTGATTTTACTTAGAATAAGAGGTTTTTTACTGATTTTAACCAAGTTCTTCTCCAGCGGGGCAGATTAAAAAACCATTCCTGGAACGTTTCCTCCTTAGGTCGGCTTTGTTGGGTCTCTCCTCCCTCTCCTGCTCCAGAGGGGCAGGACAGCGGTCTGCAACCCTCTTCTGCTTCGTTCCTCATCTGCAGTCATGTGCCCTCCGCAGAGCTGGGCGCACTGTTATTTCTAAGGCACCCTAAGGGCGCATGGCTCTGTACAGTAGGCCGGGGCCCTACGGAGTTTACAAACTGCGGCCCCATCGCAGCGGGCACCTTTCAGCTGACGCCGGGCAGAGTCAGATCCGGCTCTAAAAAGGCAGGAGCGGATCCAGGACAGGCTCTACAAACAACGCAGCCGGGGGGTTACTGGATGGTACGACCAGAGCTGTGGGCTCCCAATAGGTAGCAAAAGAACTTAAACAACCACCAATGGTCCTGCAGCATCTTAGAGACTAACAAAACATGTAGCTGGTCTCATGAGCGTTCGTGGGCACAGCCCACTTCTTCAGATGAGTGGCGCAGGGAGCCCAGAGTTACAAAGAAATTGCAGAAAGAGAAGAGACGGGGGGGGGGGGGGAGAGGAGGGGAAAAAATTGTCAATGAGGGGGTAAGCGCTAGGTGCCCGATACTTAGGGTGTTGAATGTAGCAGCCCAGCCAGGTCAAGTCTTTGTTCAGACTTTGATTAAAAGTGTCAAATTTGCAGACAAAGGCAATTTCTGAAGTTTCTCTTTCCAGCTGGTTTTTTTAATTGTTTTGTAATAACCACTTGGAGATCCATTCATGAGTGCCCAAGCAGGTTACAATATTTCCCGAGAGGTTTGTGCATGTTACCGTTCCGAATATCTGATTTGTGTCCATTAATCCTTCATCGTAGAGGATTTGACCAATATCCGTAGCCGAGGGGCATTGCTGGCACTTGATGGCACAGATCACATTAGTGGCGGTGCAGTTGTAGGAGCCTCTGATGTGGTGGTTGATGTAGTTAGGGCCTGTGCTAATGGAGCCTGTATAGATGTGTGGGCAGAGTTGGCACTGGGGCTGATTGCAGGGTTGGGTTCCTGGGTGATCATGATGGAAGTGTGTTACGAGGTTGCTAGAAAGAATTTGTCTGAGGTGAGGGGGTTGTCAGTAGGTGAGGACTGGCCTGTCCCCAAGGCCTGTGAGAGTGAGGGGTCGTTTTCCAGGATAGGGTGTCGATTGTCAGTGATGTGCCGGAGGTTAGGTTGGGGGCTGTAGGTGATGACCAGCGTTCTGTTGTTTTCTTTGTTGGGCCGCTCTTGAGGAAGTTGATGCCTGGGGTACCCGTCTGGCTCTGTCCGTCTGTTTGTTCACTTCCCTGGGGGGGCGGGTGTTTCAGTTTGAAGAAGGCCTGACAGAGATCCTGTCGCTGTTTGTCTCTGGCTGCGGGATTGGAGCAAATCCGGTTGTATCTTTGGGCCTGGCTGTAAACAATCGATTTCCGATCCCACGTGCTGGGCAGCGGAATAAGGCACGAAGTGAGGCGTGGACGTAGGGCACCGATGTCCCTGTCCGAAGATGGGCACTGGGAAAAGGAGGTGCCGCAACGTCGGAGCCCCTGCTGAGACCGTGAGCCTCAGTGCGTAAGGCCGCTGCTGCCCGGAGACCTGCGCAGACTGCAGCGTTCCCTGTACCGTCACCAGGACTGCCCAGGGCGAGCTGCTCCCTCAGGCCCTGTGTGATCCCCTGGCGTGCTGGCAGGATGCCCAAGGCCAAAAGGGATTTGTGAGGGGCTCAGGGAACACCCACCAAACATGCATTGAGCCCCCTCCTCGGGCTGGGCCTTGGCTAGCCCACCAGCAGCGACACCGGGAAACACGCCCCGCCCCAGCTCTCGGGGACAAACCGGACGTCCTGGGCACCCCACGCCCTCGGGGCTCCTGGGCCATCGGTCAGGATCCAGCTGCTCGCAATACGTGTCCCATGTTTGCGCGCGTCCTCAATTGTGCTCTCTTTGCTAGCGTACATCAATGGCCCGAGTGATTGATCTGGTCCCGTGGCCGGACGATGGCCACCGTGTCTACACGGCCCCAGCCGTGCTACTGCCCCTGGACCCCCGGAAAGTCATGCTGGCGGGAGTCAAGGACAGGCTTTACCACCCAGAGCTGCCGACCCTACGGCGAATGGATATGGACTCAGCGGGGAACAAACTCCCCGAGGAGCACTCCCGGGACACGACCGCCTGCACCAAAGGTAATGCCACCTCGGGGCTTTGGGCTGTTCTCTGGGCCTGCGGACAGTGCGCTGGGAGACCTGGCTTTACCGCCAACAGCCCTATTCAGACACAGGTTGGGACCCTTTGATAGCAGGAGCCCAGGGCTCGCTCCAGGGACCTACGGTCGCTCCTGGTTTCCAACCAATGTTCTACGAGAGTCTGGCCCTGAGCCTGCACTGGCTGGCAGGGGAACCGGCTCCAACGCCCAGCGCTGCCTGGGCCCACTCTGGGGAAGGGGCCCAGGAGGCCGCGGTTCTCACGTCTCTCCTTGCTCTCTCCTGCAGAGGATTTCGCCAACGCATCCTTCACTCTGGCGGGAGTCCCCAACAAGCGCCTCCCGACCCTGGTGAGTCACTGCAGCCAAACTGAGAGCTAAGAAATCAGTCACTGCTCTGCAGGACCAAGACCTGTTGGCCTTTCCTATAACCCCCTTGTGCCTTCCCATCCCAGGCTATGTCTAGACTGCAGAGTTCTTCCGGGATACCAGGGGCATCCCGGAAAAACTCTGTCGTGTCCAGGGAACACGTCTGCTTTTTCGGATCAGTTTTGACCACTGATTCCCATCCTGCCCCACTGAAAGGAACGTGGCTGCTGGCAGACAGGGCCCAGTGAGTTTCATCACCAGCTAGGAAGACATACCACACACCTCCTTCCAACAGGGCCCAGTATCCCTTCCGGAAGGGTGCACATTGCGGTTCACCCAGACGACCAGCTGAAGGTAGGGAGAGGGGGTGGGATCTGTAGTGGGCTCACCCTAGGTTTGGAGCGGCCTAGAAGATACAGCATATGCCTGAGGGGCAGAGGGTGGTGGATTGAAGCCCCCCCCACACAGACAGCAGCTGGGCAGCCAACATGAGCTGCCCCAGGGATGACCTGGCTCCCGTATTAGGAAGGCACAGCTGAAAGTAGGAGGGTAGGCAGCAGGATAAGGGACTGGCGGGCGGGAGGGGAGAAGATAGTGCATTCACCTGGGAGTGTAGACATAACCCCAAAGAGCTAAACCCTGAATACCACCCACGTCCATCTATGTATTAATTCCGAGGGACCTTCAGACATTAGCCAGCACCAGCGGTTGACTCAGCCCTGGGCAGACACGTAAGGAGAGATAGTCCCTGTTCCAAGACACTTACAAGCCAGGACAGGTACTGACAAACCCTGACATGGTCTGGGATTTGGCCATCAGTTTTGACCACTGATTCCCATCCTGGGCATCCCGGAAAAACTCTGTCGTGTCCAGGGAACACGTCTGCTTTTTCGGATCAGTTTCCGAAAAAGTGGGTGCACTCTTTCAGAAGTCCTGTATTCCTCATTTTATGAGGAATAAGGGCTCTTCTGAAAGAGGAGGTTTTCCCATATTTGGCCTTGTGTGGATGGGCCAAATGTTGGAAAAGCTTCCGAAAAAACAAGCGGAAAAAGGTTTGCACATTGCGGTTCACCCAGACGACCAGCTGAAGGTAGGGAGAGGGGGTGGGATCTGTAGTGGGCTCACCCTAGGTTTGGAGCGGCCTAGAAGATACAGCATATGCCTGAGGGGCAGAGGGTGGTGGATTGAAGCCCCCCCCACACAGACAGCAGCTGGGCAGCCAACATGAGCTGCCCCAGGGATGACCTGGCTCCCGTATTAGGAAGGCACAGCTGAAAGTAGGAGGGTAGGCAGCAGGATAAGGGACTGGCGGGCGGGAGGGGGGTGAGGTGGGGTCTGGGCTAAACCCTGAATACCACCCACGTCCATCTATGTATTAATTCCGAGGGACCTTCAGACATTAGCCAGCACCAGCGGTTGACTCAGCCCTGGGCAGACACGTAAGGAGAGATAGTCCCTGTTCCAAGACACTTACAAGCCAGGACAGGTACTGACAAACCCTGACATGGTCTGGGATTTGGCCATCAGTTTTGACCACTGATTCCCATCCTGCCCCACTGAAAGGAACGTGGCTGCTGGCAGACAGGGCCCAGTGAGTTTCATCACCAGCTAGGAAGACATACCACACACCTCCTTCCAACAGGGCCCAGTATCCCTTCCGGAAGGGTGTCACGCCGAAAGGTCGAGTTGTGTTCAGCCCTGCTCGAAGGAGGACATGGGGAGGAGAACTAGAGTTACGTCTGTTGCCCTGGTCAATGCTGGACTATTCAATTTCCTCACTGTTGTGACCATCAACACAGGTCCTGCAGCTGGAGCCTGAATATAGACAGGGCACCCAGCATCATAACCACCATGCGGGTGGACCAGAGCAAGGCACGGTTCAATGACACAGTAGTTAAAACAGCAGCAGAGGCGACTGAAATAGAACAACAGTCCAACTCCAGAAGGATGGTTCAAAAAATACGGGAGATCGTTACTGTGAAAAAAGAATTCCCCAATTGCATACTGTGCGGAGGCGTGCGCCTGTCGTGGGCTGTATAAACTCCTCACTGGGCAGCGACAGGTTAAAGAGCAGTTCCGGGCTTGGGAGACCCTGCCCTGCTCCATCCGGGGCAGACGGGGAGCAGGAGTTGCTCCGAGAGCTGCGGGAGGACAGTGTGTCTCGAACTTGCCCGCCCCGCTCAACGCAAACCTTGCCACGGACCCCCCGCCAGCACCCTGACGACAAAATGGGTGCAGGAGAGCATGGAGGTGCAGAATCGGAGTGGGAAGTAGGGGGCGGGCCGGCTGCCAATGGGGGAAGATGAGGAGAAAGAGGGGGCTGAACCACGTGGAGCTAATCACCAGGAGGCGGCACCACCCAGTGGTGAGCAGAGTGCACTGTGCCCCCTACCCAACAAGCAGAGCAGAGAGATTTTCTCACCATTGTGTTACTCCAGGTGCTGTTTTGGAGACCAGGCAGTGACGGACCCCCCGCCAGCACCCTGACGACAAAATGGGTGCAGGAGAGCATGGAGGTGCAGAATCGGAGTGGGAAGTAGGGGGCGGGCTGGCTGCCAGTGGGGGAAGATGAGGAGAAAGAGGGGGCTGAACCACGTGGAGCTAATCACCAGGAGGCGGCACCACCCAGTGGTGAGCAGAGTGCACTGTGCCCCCTACCCAACAAGCAGAGCAGAGAGATTTTCTCACCATTGTGTTACTCCAGGTGCTGTTTTGGAGACCAGGCAGTGCACATCTGGCCAACGCGGGCTGGCTGCCAGTGGGGGAAGATGAGGAGAAAGAGGGGGCTGAACCACGTGGAGCTAATCACCAGGAGGCGGCACCACCCAGTGGTGAGCAGAGTGCACTGTGCCCCCTACCCAACAAGCAGAGCAGAGAGATTTTCTCACCATTGTGTTACTCCAGGTGCTGTTTTGGAGACCAGGCAGTGCACATCTGGCCAACATTTTTAAATATTTGCATTGGACAGATATGCCTGGTTTGTTAAATGTGAGTTTTCACTCAATAAAACACACACAATAGATATTCTCCCCTAGCACGCCCACGTGACAGACAAAAGCCTGAACTACTGGTGGCAGCAGTGGGGATTTTTGAGGCAAAATATGTCACCTCACAATTCTCATTTTCGCTAAGGCCACTTTCAGCTCTGTCGCTGCATAAACCCACAAAAGGGCCCCAGCGCTATTCCTGTTTTCCGTGCGCACTAAGAACCCTTCGTACTGCAAGAGGGGGTTAAGCCCCCTCAGTAGAAATGAGACTCGGGGTTCTACGGTAGGTCCCTCCTTGGAGAAGTGTGGGGGGGTGCATCCATTGATCAGCGGCCCTGCTGAAAGGCTTCGGAGAAGCGTGGTGAGCAAGGGGTTTAAGCGGGGAGAGGGAACGGTGAGATTGGGAATGGCAGGGGAATAAAAGCTACAACTGACATTGCTTCCTTATGAGCCGTTTGGCCTCAATTTCTCCTGAACGCCAGGTGGGTGGGGCTTGTTCTCTCTCTGGGCGCTGGCTGTCCCTCCCAAGGTTTAGCTTCCTCAGCAGTTACCTGGGAAGAGCAAACCGAGGCAAAGAGGGACTCTGTCTAAGCTCACCCGCTAAGCAGGCTCCCGGTGGCCTGCACCCGACTTCCTGTCAAACTTGGATCCATCTGGCTTTGACCCCAAGCTCTGTGATGCTTGGATCTTCCCTGTTTCAGCTCAGGCGCGTGTAGCTTCCAATCGGCACAAGCTCTGCCCAAGTCACTCTTTTGCCGCTGCATTTTTTGCCATCACGGGCCATAACCGTGGGCTTTAGAGGGCAAGGCAGCAGGATCGCTTCCCTGGGCGCTGTTAGCGGAGGCGTTTAGATGCCAAAGCAAGTCCCCAGCCGCAAATCTTTGGAGAGGTCAGCCGAGAGAAGAAGGGGGGTTTTACCGCTGCGACAGCTCTCCTTTGCTGTGCCCCGCAGGGCATGACGGAGATGGGCAAGTCGCTCACCGCACGGTACCGCGCAGGGAAGATGGCGCCGCTCACCCCCAGCACCAACCACGAGGAATGGCCAAGCTACACGCGCGCCATGGAGGACTGGTCACGCTTTGTCTCTTCTGCCGGAGAATTCAAGCTGCCCAGCGTGGACAAGAAAGGTACGGCCCGGCAGGCGGTGGGCGCCGGGAAAAGCCACCGCCAATCAGCGCCTCTCGTACACAGGGCGGGCCTACAACCAAAGCGGCCTGCGCCTGGGGTCCCTCCTGAGGCTTAACTCACAGGACCATGAGCAGTTCAGTAGGGGGGCGTGGCTGGCGCCTAGCAGCAGATGGGGAGGTGTGAATACCAAAAGCAGGGGAAGTTGCCTGTGTAATGAGACAGCTGCTCCAAGGCCTTACTCAGCCCTAGTCTGATGGTGTGAAATTTGCCAACGACTTGCAGCGTGGCTGTTTCTCTTTGCAGTCTGGCCCAAAGCCCCCAGCATGGTACTGAAACTGGCAGCAACCTGGGCAAGGCAAGCTGGGGAGCAGTGTAAAATACGACAAATTGGCACCACGGCAGTGCTGGGCTCGCAGGGAAGGGGAGAGGGGTGGAAGTGGCCACAGCGCGCTGGGGGCGTTGGGCCGGGCTTGGGGAGCGATCCATCAACGCCACCGTGAAAACATCAGCGTGCGAGAGGGCTGGCGGCCCTCGGGATGGTAACACACGCGCACCTGTCTCTCCCCACAGTGCTCGGGTTCAGCTGTTACGCTGTTAGACACTTGAAGCCAGACGTGGCTCAGACCTGGCGGGTAAGGAGTTCTCTACCACTGAGCCGTAGTGCGCTGCCTCCTGCTGGGAGCGCCGGGGATCACGCCGGGCCTGGAGAAAAGGGGAATTTCAGTTTGAGCTCCTCGCGGCTGGGCTTTTTGCTGAGCAGAACGCTGTCACGGGCAGGGGGTCAGACTAGATCGGGGGAGGGGGATCAGAAGGGCCTCCATCGGCTGGATCCGGCCTGCCAAGCAGATTGATCTGGCCCGCGGAGGTCCTGTCACTCCCCCGCCCCCCGGCTAATCAGGGCCGTGTGCTCCTTGCAGGACAGGGGCAGGGCGGGAGGAGACGTCGCCCACTCCCCTCGTCCCCAAGCCCTGATTGGCCTGTGGGGCGGGGGGAGCACGAAGTCTCCTCCCGCCCTGCAAGGGGCTCGGCCCTTAGAGTCAACCACCAGCTGCTGCTGCTCAGATAATAAACAAAAAATTATTGTCTGGTGTTCCTCAGTCTTAAAAAGCTTGAGAAACACTGGGGTAGAGATTTCTTCTGAGGGACAGTGGCCTCTGATAGCCTCCCCCCCATCCCTGCTCTAGAGGCCGGACAGGTGGCAGCACAGGGGTGCAGATAGAGAGTGGATGCTACTTGGCTCCAGTGCCCAGCCCTGACTCCCCTCCCGGCGCTGTGTCCTTCCAGTACTGCCTCAATCAGAACCCGAGCCTGGACCGATACGGACAGAAGCCCCTGCCGTACAACAGCACGTAAGTAGCTCCGGGATCCCCACCGCAGGCAGCCGCTGGGACCCCTTGGGGTGCTTCTCTGCGACTCACAGACAATCTTCCCTTCCTCTGCAGCAACATCTTCCGGAGCTTCGGCTCAGCGTACAGGTAAACGGCAGAGAGGCTGCTGAATTCTGCAAGGGGGCGGGGAGAGATCGGGGGGGACCGGAGAAGGAGGAGGGAGCCCTGGGGAATGGAGCACAGGGAAGGAGGGAACAATTGCTCTCACCCTAAGGGAGCCGGCTCTGGGGAGGAGAGTAACTTGCACATAGCCCCTTGCCAGATACTCCCAGAGGACCAGGTGGCAAACTCCATGCCCTCCCAGGAGACTAATCACCAGTGAAAGGAAGAGGGTCCCAGACACAAGCAAATCCCCACCAGCCTCACACTTCCAGCTGGGAAAGGAGACAAATGCCACGCACATCAACGTACCATCTAATTTTTCCATCCATGTGCGGAATAATTGTATGTGCACTGAGGCACGAGTGAATGTGCACCACCAGTAGAAACACAAGACCTAGCCGTGGGTGCTCTACTAATCAGCTGGGCGGCTCTTGAATCTCTCCAGAGCAGCCGCACCAGCGCAGAGCTTACAGGGAACAGATGCACACCCCAGTTCTGGCTGATTGGATGCTGTATCCACGCACAAAATAAGGGGACCCGCTGGCCCATTTTGGCTTGCTGAAGGACGGGATAATGCTATCCCCCCTGCCTTTAGCCTCGCCTACATTTCAACTGCACGCCTCTCCCACCACAGAGGAAAAAAACCTTCCCCCATCACGAGGCTGTGCAGAAAGCTAGTGCCACGCAGGGAAAGCCGTTAGCAATTCCTTCCTGCTCCATCTCCTTCGAGCCCGGAAGCAGCACACATGCATGCAGGGCATGTAAAGACCTCGCATGCAGTCTTGGAGTCACTGCCGCAGACCATGTTAGGTCTGCGCCAGTTCCAGAGACCTCCCGTTTGGGGGATGTGCTAAGCCCTGGATCCTGTGCCACCACGAATTCAGTCACATCTCTCTGGTGCATCTACTTGGGAGTGCCGGCGAGCTGGTTTGCGCAAACTCCTGCTAGCAGAGAGAGACCTGGGTCCCCTAGGCTAAGGCGACAGTCGCTTGGTTAGTTGGGTCTGCGCATTATGAGGCCACGTCTGGGCTGCATCTAGACTGGCAAGTTTTTCCGCAAAAGCAAATGCTTTTGCGGAAAAATTTGCCAGCTGTCTACACTGGCCGCTTGAATTTCCGCAAGAACACTGACGATCTCATGTAAGAAATCAGTGCTTCATGCGGAAATACTATGCTGCTCCCATTCTGGCAAAAGTCCTTTTGCGCAAAAGGGCCAGTGTAGACAGCTCAGATTTGTTTTGCGCAAAAAAGCCTGGATCGCGAAAATGGCAATCGGGGCTTTTTTGCGGAAAAGCACATCTAGATTGGCACGGACGCTTTTCAGCAAAAAGTGCTTTTGTGGAAAAGTGTCCGTGCCAATCTAGACTCTCTTTTCCGCAAATGCTTTTAACGGAAAACTTTTCCGTTAAAAGCATTTGTGGAAAATCATGCCAGTCTAGACGTAGCCATGGAGTATTGTGTCCAGTTGGGCCCCCCACTACAGAAGAGATGTGGGCGCATTGGAGAGGGTCCAGCGGAGGGCAACCAAAATGATTAGGGGGCTGGAGCACATGACCTATGAGGAGAGGCTGAGGGATTTTGGGCTTGTTAAGTCTGCAGAAGAGAAGAATGAGGGGGGATTTGAGAGCAGCCTGCAACTTCCTGAAGGGAGGTTCCAAAGAGGCTGGAGAGAGGCTGTTCTCAGTAGTGACAGATGGCAGAACAAGGAGCAATGGGCTCAAGTTACAGTGGGGGAGGTCTAGGTTGGAAATTAGGAAAAACTATTTCCCTAGGAGGGTGGGAAGCACTGGAATGGGTTACCTAGGGAGGGGGTGGAATCTCCATCCCTAGAGATTTTTAAGTCTCGGTTTGACAAAGCCCTGGCTGGGTTATTTAGTTGGGATTGGTCCTGCCTAGGGTAGGGGGCTGGACTCAGTGACCTTCTGAGGTCTCTGCCGATTCTATGATTAGGGGCAGGGGGGCTGTTTACATTACTGCGACGGAGGAAGCAGATAGCTGAGCCCTAAAAAGGCTGGGGGAGAAGGGACAGGGAGGGGAGGGTCCCTGGAGCGGCTGGCACTGTGGAAGGAGAGAGGGGGTCTATGCGGAACAGACAAGGGGAAGGGAAGCGGCCCAGGGAAAGGAGGGTTAAGGCAGAGGTGGCCAACCTAAACCTGAGAAGGAGCCAGAATTGAGCAATGCACGTTGCCTAAGAGCCACAGTTCTAGGTCACCAGCCCCGATCATCTCTCCACCCCCACTCCCAGCACATCCCGCCCATGGGCAGCCCCACCGGTCAGCGCCTCTTCTCCTTTTCCTCCTGCCCACTGGGATCAGCTCTCTCGGTGGGTGACACTGGAGGGGGAGGCATGTGTGTGACAGGCGCAGTGGAGAGGGTGGGAAGTGGAAGGATTTTAGGGGGAAAGGGTGGAGCTGGGGGTTGAACAGTGAGCACCCTCCGGCCCAGAGGAAAGTTGGCACCGGTAGCTCCGGCGCTGGATTTGGTACCTAGGCAAGGAGCTGCCTATTCACTTCTGAAGAGCCACAGGTTGGCCACCCCCGAATTAAGGCCTCTCCCAAGGCTTCGAGGGAAGGGGGGACCATCCGGTGCCGCCATTTGTTGGGCTTCATCACATGCTGCATCTGCTTCCCTCCCCAGCCGCTCTCACTACCTCCAGCCCTGGCGCTAGGCAGCGGGAACCAGGAAGGGGTGCAGAGCCCGAGGGGCGCAGGAGACCGGCGGGCCGCCAGGGGAAAGGCAGGATACCCGCTCCACTTCTTAGCCAATAAAAGCCGCTCTGAAAATGGATACGCCAAAGAGAGGCTGTGGGAGGAGCTTCCGGGAGGGGCGGGGTCAGACCTCCTTCTCCCCGCCCTGCGGTTCTGCCCGAGTTGCGAGGAAGAGATGAACGGAACCAGGCCCAGGGCGTTGTGCAAGCTGGAGAAGGAAGCGCTTTGCTGGCCCTTTGCCAGAGCGGCACCGGGCAGCTGTACGCAGACGCACCAATCAAGCCTCTGGGCGCCATCGTGCCAGATACTGTACGTCTCTCAGAGGCTCTTCTCCGTCCCTGCCACCCACTGGTAGCTCAGACGGGGGATCCTGGATGCGGAGGCAGCCCTTAACCCGGTGTCCTGTCCGTTAGATTCCCAAGATCTGTTCCCTCTTCCACTCCACCCCTCCTACCACTTAACCTGCCAGCATTTACTTCCAGTCTTTCACCGGCTCATCGCTCCCGCATCCAGCCACCTCCAGATCCCTCCCTGCAGATACACCAGCAAGAGAGCCGTTTTCTTACCACCCGCCCACCTCGGCGCCTGCTTGTTAGCTCCCCTCCCACCACGTTTCTGCACCCCGGGGCCGGCAGAGCAGACTCGGCCGCAGTCGGAAGGTGCCTTTAAAATGGGCCCAGGCCTAGGCCGCACCAGCGTGTGTTTGAACTTGGGTGGCTCTGTGCCTCAGTTTCCTCTCAGCAAAATGGGGACAGAGTCACACTGCCCTGCCTGCCGGGAGTGGTGCGAGGATAAAAACGGAGGCGTGGTGAGCCGCCCACATGGGGCAGCGATGGGCGCAAGCTGCATACCACGGGGCGACAGGTCTGAGAGTCGCTCCCATGTTAGTCTGCATTTGTAAAACCAGCAAGGAGGCCCGTGGCGCCTGACAGACCAACCGATGTTCGTGGGTCAAACCCACTTCCTCAGGTGCACGGCGCAGACGTCACAGAGGCAGGGATATAGAACACACAAGCATCTCAGAAGAAGGGGGTTACCAAGCATGTGTAGGGCCTATGTTAACCAGGCCCATTCAGCGGACCATGAAATTGACCAAAACAGACGGTGGATTTGGTAGGGCCCTGGCTGTCCAAGTGCAGGGTGTTCAGGACAGGGAACGTTTCACATCCAGCATCTAGCCCCATATGCACAGGAACCTCCGGGCGACACTCATAATTGTTGTGCACAAATAGGGTGATGCACCTACAGCCAGAGACAGGCCGGGGGAGGGAGAGACAGCTGTAAAGCAACCCCAACCGCAGGAGGCTCTTAACAGGGTAGCTGTACTGTCACGCTACCCTCCTAATCCAGCCACCTGTGGCAGCATGGCGCCCAGGGCAGGAAGAGACCCTACTATCTAGTCAGCGCCTTGCCCAGTCACAAGACACAGGTTTGGTGCCGGTCGCGTAGCTACGAGCTCTTCACCTTCTGCCTCACCCCTTAAACACCAGGCCAAGTGACTGGCTGCATCTAGATGGACATGATTTTCCGGAAATGCTCAGAAAAGAGCGTCTAGATTGGCACTTTTTGCGGAAAAGCGTCCGTGCCAATCTAGACGCGCTTTTCCACAAAAAAGCCCCGATCGCCATTTTCACAATCGGGGCTTTTTTGCAGTAAACAAATCGGAGCTGTCTATACTGGCCCTTTTGCACAAAAGCTTTGTGCAAAAGGGACTTTTGCCTGAACGGGAGCAGCATAGTATTTCTGCAAGAAGCACTGATTTCAGACAGTAGGAAGTCAGTGCTTTTCGGAAATTCAGGCGGCCAGCTGGCAAGTTTTTCCGGAAAAGCGACTGATTTTCCAGAAAAACTGGTCAGTCTAGACACAGCCTCTGAGTCCTACCGGGTGCAGCGAATGCTTTTTGGGAATTCAACAACTAAAAAGCCGTCAGGCGGCCATTGCTGGACCCGGCGTGAGCCGTTACGGGTGGTGAGGAAGGCCGGAGTGCCTTGTAAAATGAGGGTTAGCCAGTCTCCGTTTCACTCTCCTTCATGTGGCACACACACACGGTGGGCCCTGGTCTGAGAAGCACTAGGATTTACCTGCCGAGGTGGGGACCTCTGTGAGAACGGACGGCACAGTCTGGCCCAGAAGGGAGCAGGCGGGCGCCCCAGTTCGGCCTCGTTGCTTGGAGCAATTGCGTAGCCCTCTGAGCGATTTCCTGTTGGTTGGCGAGACCCAAGAGCAGCAGCGAGGCTTATCTGCCACCTCACAGCCCGCCAACGTCAGGGAGCAAGGCATTGCCAACGGCGAGGTTAAAATGCATTTATTCTGGGAAACGTGTAACCGCAGAGAATTTCAGCTGGGCGGAGGGGGAAGAGGTAGGAACTTGCCGGCTTTTAAGCAGGTCTGCTGCCTCTGATACAGCAGGAGCCAGTAAGCACAGGGAGCTGGCTTTTAAGCCAGGTCCCCACACATACAGGCTCCTGTGCAGCCACCTCTGCGGACCCTCCCACTCCCTACTGTTGCCTCTAGTACAGAGGCAGCAGTGCTGTGTGTAACCGATGAGCTAACTGCGCATCCTGCCGGGGTCTGTGTGTTTTGGCAAGTACGGTAGTCTTGTGTGTAGGGGCAGCTTAGAGTGGACTGGCTAAATAACTAGAGGCAGGCTGTCGAGGGAGGATGAAAGAGGGAGATAGATTGGGAAGAGCACGGTCCGTGGCAGGTGGATGAAGCAAGTTAAGACAGATAATAAAAAGGCAATTGACAAATAATGGGACGGATCCTTTTCTAAGATAAGCAGGAGGTTGGATTAGGGATGTGATAGTGTCGTCAATTAACTGATTGGCAAAAGCTTATGGGTTAATGCTGTTGGCCACATGCATTTCCCCCCCGCCCCCACCAGTAAATTTTTTTAGCAGGCTGGCCAGCAGCCTGACTCATTCCTGGCTTGCACCAGGTCCAGGACCTACCCCCGCTGAAGATCTGCATTTAAAGTGTATTCAGAGCCGGGTGGGCAGGCAGTCCAGCTCAGTTCTGGCTTGCACCGGGTCCAGGGGCTCTGAGCCCAGCCCAGGATAGGGGCTGCTGCCACCCCACGCTGCTGCCTCTGAGCCATCACTGCTAAGCGGGCAGCCAGGAAGACTTTGGCCATAGCCTTCCATCCCAGGAGAGGAGACAGAGGACAGCAGCCCTCAGATGCACCCGAACTTTCTCTTCTCTGCTGTTCGCTGCAGTGGCTGGAATCCTGAACAGCTCTCCCATCGGGTGACCTTTTGGGTCAGCAGTACAAGCTACGGTTTCCTCCACAAATGCTCAAAACCAGAAGCAGCACCAGGAACAGATATACAAAGAGAGTAAATGCCTGCCCCCTCAAGAAACCGTACAGATCCGCAGGAAGGTATAAATAATAATAAATGTATTAGTAAAGCAAAACCTACACTTTACTTTATTAGTAAAGTCAAACATACACACACACGTATGGGAGACTGGCTTATAAACACACAGAGAGCAGTGTTAAAGGCATTGCAACCCCCACAGAAGCCTCGTCGCTCACGGGTACGATCTCACACAGCCCTGCTAATTCCCAGGCATGGAGTCAAAACCAAAGGTTATGCGGCTCCGCCTGTAACTTCACCCCATCAGAGACCATGGCTGGACCTCTACTATTGACCTGGCTCCACTGCAGCAAAGAACTGCCCCTGAAAAGGAGCCAGACCCATGGATCATATGAAACTTTAGTGACAAGCACCTGGAGTCTGGGATTAGAATTCCACCCTGGAGTTCTGGCAAAGGGAGTCACTCTCCGAAGTTCAGGGCTGTTGTGAGGTTCAGTTCTTAGATGACCATAATGCACTTTCAGAAAGCGCCATGCAGGAACAAAGTGAATCCCAAGTCACAGGAGAAGATCAATTTGCCAGACTCCACAGAGGAGCGGAATCCCAGCATTCCTCCTTGCTGTCATTATTGCATTAGTGCCCAGACTGGAACAGAAATCTTCCTGCGAATTAACTCGGCACGCCCCAGCTTGGTCAAGATAATGAACGCTATGGGTTACGTTCCTTGCTTTGTTCGTTAATATCCAGTTACCGGTTGCAGTCCCGGTTCAACTGAAATGCCTGAAGGAAATCAAGTGCTCTGTTCCCCCACAATGTCAAGCAATTGCAGGGGAGTCTGTGCCAACCCATCGTCCCAGGCCGCACCCATCCTCAGCCATCCTCCAGTTCTCCCTTAATTGATCACTGTCATCAGCACCAACTTCTCTAGTAGCCACACGGCAAGCAAACAAGCCTAGGGCCTCCACAGGAGACCAGCTCAGAGAGGGACACACTCCCTCCGCATCACGCCCCGAAACCACCACTGAATACGGGGCGGAGACCCGACGACTGTCCTCAGGGCACGGAAAGGGGACACGTAGGTGGTACATATGACATCGGGGTGAAGCCTTTCGAGAGCCACAGTCCCAGAGACAGTAGTAGGAACCACCCTTTAAAGGAGAGATTGACGTTTCTAAATTCCTTACCCCCGTAGCGTCTCACACTAGTAGATGCCACCAATTCATCACAGCCATCCCAGGAGCTTCCAACGAGTCACTCTCACCACTTGCCCGGGCAGCGTTCTGTACTGCCAATACCCCCTAGCCTGCCCCATCGCAGGCTGACCGGGTGCGCCCACAATGGAACGGACCCCTGAATGAACGCAGCTGCACAAACCCTTTCCTTCCGCCAGCTGCCCCAGTCCATGCACTGCCGTGATGGGCCGCAGGTGAATTAGTTGCTCAAATCCCCGTGGAATTCAATGGCACCGTAACCCATCAGGTTCCTCCAAAATCCCCCCTGCAGAGGCCTTCGGGAAAGGACAACTACCACCCCTCTCCTAGGGGTAATCCATAGCAGAATCCGGCAACAGGGAAGACTGTACCATCGTTCACAGAGAGCACAGCCAATGTAAGAGGTGCAAAGAAACCCAGAGGCGGTAATGAAGTCTGCACAAGAGACACGAGAGGGAGAAAATAAAGAGATGGAGGCATCCTGGGGATGTGTAGAAAGGAAAAGGGCAGAAAGATGAACAAGGACGACTCTTCTTCCTGGAAACAAAC